ACTCATCTATGTACAAGCGTGAGCTAACTTGTTGCAGAATATATCAACTATTGTCACGCAAACAAATTGGAAGTATTGCCTACAATTACCAGTTCTCAGTTATCCACTCCGGCAAAATAGTTTATTATGACCACACCCAGATTTATGGACAATTTATGAGTCACAAATTAAAACAATATGTATACAGTCTAACAAAATACCTAAATTATCAACCACTTTCACTGATACATGTACCACGTACGTGCATCTCGCTAGCAACGCCGGTGAAATCATATCATAAGGGTTGCAGAAAGACGATCCAAGAACCTATAATCATTTTGGCCACCCGAAGTGTAATAATAAAAGCATCCCTTTGTCCAATACCTACCATTTATACTTGCACAGATAGAAATAACAAAAGTAGTAGCGTCTATTTATCTTGAATCAAAACAATTTTATTTCCCGTGAATCTTTGTAGTTGCAGGTGAATGACGGTTACACGACTCTCGGTGTCACTGTTTATATTTATTGAATAAATGTTTCTATATGACTGTTTGTACCATCCGACATAATTGTGGACAGATCTAGATACAAATATTTACCTGCAAACACATAAATATGCGTATTAATATCTGTGATAGAAATACCTTAGTCGTGGTGTTCAGACCGATGTACCCATGATGCACTACGTCGCACGGAATTTAAATAACAAGCAGCCATTTGAGTTTTTTGTTCATTTAGGCAGACCGGATGTATTTGACTGTAGTTTATGGCTCCGCGCATGGTATGGCGACATTCATTTTGTACTTGAATGTTTTGATATGTCTGCACGTCGTATCCTGACGGGAAAGAGGCTCGGCATGACTGATATTTGCAACGGCGAAGAAAATATCGTTGTAGAAGTTGAAAACTTGATTGACGATAAAGAAATATCGAAAATAAGGGTTAGCTTACGTTTTTATTGTCCTGAAATGTATCGTTCGCTTGAACTGTTTTTCAGTTAAATCATAACCTAAATAGAATGACTATGGTGAAATAAACTGCTAGTAAATATTCGTGGGGTAATAAACATTATCTCGTGTCTTGAATGCCATTTTTACATTGCAATTTTTTTGAGTAGCGCGCCCTCTAACGACGACTAACCTTGTTATTCATATATTGAGGGCGCAACTTTGTCAGATTATTTTTCGGTGAAGTGCATGCAGTCGAGCCATCATATATATATGCCATTCTTTAACCATGTAAATATAGCACAGATAAAAGTTAGATTGTTGTTAAATCTATTGCCTTTATGTGACATTTATGTTGTCCAGTTTTTCATAATATTTTCATTCACTGATAGAAACATTGTATTTCTAAGGATGCAATAAAGTTATTATTAGCCCCCACCCGACAAAGTCCAGGAGGGGGCTTATAGTTTCGCCTTCATTAGTCCGTCGGTCCTTCCGAATGATTTCTCGGAGATGGCTGGAGCAATTTTTTTGAAACTTGGTACAAAGACATAGTGGTCAACCATACATGTGCACGTCAATTTATTTTCTGATTCGATCAAATATGGCGGAGTGGCGGCCATTTTTAATGCCAAAATTCAGTCAAATTCAGTCTTTGTGTGTCCATCGTCATTTCTTGGAGATGGCTTGACCGATTTTGTTGAGACTTGTTACAAAGACGAATGGACCACCCATACAGATGCATGTTGTTTTACTTTTTTGAAATGGTAAAATATGGCCGACTGGCAGCCATTTTGATTGTTAATCATGGCTTTTGTTTGTCCATTGATATTTCTCAGAGATGCCTTGTCTGATTTTAATGATACTAGGTACAAATACACAGTGAGGAGGTATACATATTCACATAGATTTATTTCCTGATTTGATCAAATATGGATATTATAAAATATTTTGAATGTCAAAATCCTGTAAAATCCAGTTTTTTGGGTGTGTCCATCATCATTTCTCGGAGATGCCTGGACCGATTTTGCTGAGACTTGGTACAAAGACAGTGACCACTGGTACAGTTGCACATTGATTTTTTTTTTCAAGGAATCAATTAATGAGCTCATTTGTATATTTAATTATTAATTTGAATTCTTGTTAATATCTTTTGAACTAATAGTCAAAATGAGACCAAACTTGGTAGAGACTTGATTTGTCAATATACGATATATGCTATGCAATATTGAGTTTCAATTTAATTAACGAGCTCATTTGCATATTTAATGAATTTTGAATTCTTGTTGATATCTTGTGAACTAATAGTCCAAATGAGACCAAACTTGGTATAGACTTACTTGATCTGTCAATATTCAATTGATTGTGAATTTTATTGTTAAAATTGATGCAAATTTTACCAAATTTAATGGAGATGTCCTCACTGTTAACTTTGAGTAACATACTTTTGATTTTCAATTTAATCTTCCTACCTGAGTTTATACATATACATTCAAACTTTATAATTCATAGCCAACTTATTTACTATAATCACATCTGACAAGTGGGGGCTGTATAATCTTCAGATGACTCGTTATTATTATTGCCTTCAAGTTGTAAAAAAATTATATTGGGTAAATAGCAAAAAGTAGTAGCATTCATTATGCAAAATGTGTATTTCTAAAGATGCAATGAACTATTATTATAATATTATATTTCATATGGACCATTTTTAAAGGGCAGTATTTGTCGCGCTAGGCATGCGCGCGATATGGGTCTCATATAAACAAAGATGGTGACTTTGACTGTTGTGCAGACCAACAAGTTAAACTGAGACATTACTAAGTTTTAATTAGGTAATTTTTTTGGTGTTCGTAAGGTAACAAAAGAGTCACTGGTGATAATAAGTTCTAGTTATGCCCAGGTTAAAACTCACACTCCTGGTTTAATTAGAAGAGCACATAATGGATTGTGAGAAATGGATGTTGCACATGTGCGGCGCAACGACCACCGCCCTTCATTATGAGGCTGATAAATTGCAAATTGTTTTGTTTTTTCTCAGCGTGACAGCCAGGAAATATTTTCACTTCATGTGGAGAGTGACATTTTATTTTCCCCTTTTCCCAATAGTGATTTGATTCACTTCTACACTATTTGATGTATTATATGTTGAGCAACAATACGTCTTTGTTGTGAATTAACAGTTGAGCCACAGTCATTTCTTCAATTAAATTTCAATGTTGCCTTTTTCTCCCATGATGCAATGCCTAACAGTAATTCATGATTTTGTCTTACAGTATACACCAGTGAATGTTCGTGGTACAGGAATAGGCAGTTCAGATCCAAGTGAAATAATTTACAGTGGATGTGATTGTGTGAATTTGTGTGCAGATAACTGTCCATGTGTTGTGAGATTTGGACCCAGTTACAATTCAGACGGTTGTATCCTTGTTCAGTCATGCAGTAAGCCTATAGTGGAATGTAATAGCATGTGTATATGTGGTTCATCTTGCCCTAACAGAATAGTGCAGAATGGTCTGCAGTTCAAGTTACAGGTATTTCGTACCAAACACAAGGGATGGGGATTAAGAACATTGCAAGATATCCCGTTGAACAGATTTGTGTGTGAATATGCAGGAGAAGTGATAGGCTACAAGGAGGCTTACAGACGAGCTGCACAGCAACAAGAAGATGACTCAAACTATATAATAATATTAAAGGAGCACCTGACCAGAGGAAAAGTTGTTAAAACTTGTGTTGATCCTACAACGATTGGTAACATTGGTAGATATATCAATCATAGTTGCGATCCCAATCTGTGTATGCTAGCAGTGAGGGTTGATAATGAGATACCAAAACTAGGACTGTTTGCTAGGAGGAAAATTCACCAAAATGAAGAGTTGAGTTTTGATTATGCAGGCGAAGCTAGTCTCTCTCATGAAGATAACGCAGCTAAAAATGTCATTGAGGAATCCATAAACAAACAGGAAGCTGGTGGAGTTGTTGAAAGGAAATTGGGAGCATGTAGAGCTGATGGGACATTAGCTCTTAAACAGTGTTACTGTGAAACTAAATGTTGTAGAGGATTTTTACCTCGAGATAATGACTTGTATTCTGTATTAGAAAATGCAGTAGATGGTGGTAGTGTTTAGCACAAGGTGTGGTGGGCATTATTTACAGTTAGGATTGTATTACTTAACATTATTGTGGAGCTTATGCCACCAACATGCTTAACATCTGAATGATTTTACCTTCAAAATTTTTGTATTTTCTGTCATGGCTTTGTTTTTTAGCTCCGTTGTTATCATATGAGTGACTGTCCGTTGTCGTCCGACGTCCGTGTCAACTTTTTAGCTCTGCTGTCGACAAAGTCGACACAGTGGAGCTGTTCATATTACTGATTGTACGTTGTCCGCCGTTGTCGTCGTCAACAATTTCAACTTCTTCTTTGAAACCGCAAGTCAGAATGTTTTCAAATTTGATATGCAAGTACCTTGGATGGTTCTTTCTCGGATTTGTTCATTTCATGTCAAAATCTCAAATTCTGGTGAATATTTTTGTAATTTTTTGTAAAAAGTTTTATTTTCAATTTCTTGTTAAAAACCGCAAGTCCGGTTGCTTTTATATTATAGCTACTACATGTGGACCTCTCTAAGATTTGTTCATTTCATGATGATATCTTCAATTCTCTAATTTTAATGAATATTTTTGTCTTTTTTGGTAAAAAGTGATATTTTTGACTTCTTGTTAAAAACTGCAAGTCTGATTGCTTTGATATTATGCATATACGTACCTCAGGTAGACCTCTCTCGGAGTTGTTCATTTTGTGATGATATCTTCAATTATCTAATTTTGATGAATATTTTTGTCATTTTTGGTGAAAAGTGAGATTTTCAAATTCTTGTTGAAAACAGCAAGTTTGATTTCTTTGATACTATACATATTGTTCATTTTCTAATTATATCTTCAGTTCTTTAATTGAAATGTGCATTGCTAACAGCGGAGCTATCTCAGCCGACATGCTGCTTGTTCATTTTCCTTGTTGAATTTTTGTTTTTTTTAGCTTAGACATGTAACTTTTTGTTTTTCTTGTCTGTCTTTTTTTTTGTATTCATTATCACCCATTCCAAAGGATGTTAAGTGATTAAATAAATTTATTTATTTATATTTATTGATGGAAAATAGTTTTATGTGGCTGCTTAGTCTGCATGTGTAATACTAGAATTGCTCTAACTACAAATACAAATATCCACCAGTACTGGTTTCAATTTGCAATTATAGTTTCCCTGTATTGATCACAATTGATGGACTACACCAGTGTATTTCTACAATAACAAGCATATTGCTCTCCAACAAATCTAGACTATTTGCAGTAGTGCACCTCAATTGGGTTTACCCGATGTCATATTGTTGAAGTATTGTTAGGAAAAGCAGCTGTACTAAACCAGTGTATTTCTAGCAATAACAAACATATTGCTTTCTTCCCAGTAATTTCAGTAAAAATCTAAACTATATTACCGGTAAATATGTGTGCAGTAGTGCACCTCAATTGGGTTTACCCGATGTCATATTGTTGAAGTATTGTTAGGAAAAGCAGCTGTACTAAACCAGTGTATTTCTAGCAATAACAAACATATTGCTTTCTTCCCAGTAATTTCAGTAAAAATCTAAACTATATTACCGGTAAATATGTGTGCAGTAGTGCACCTCAATTGGGTTTACCCGATGTCATATTGTTGAAGTATTGTTATGAAAAGCAGCTGTTACTGAGCTTTTTTCATTTTGTATTATACAGAATTATGATTCAATTGTTGGAGGCTTGAGACAGACTTTTTGCATGTCATAGACTCTACTATAGTGTTGAATACTGTATTTTTATTATATGCTTAAATGACATAGATAGTTTTCTATGTTTGTAATAAGTTCATTTACATTGTGCTTATTGGTTTCAGTTCAGTACCTCTCAATTCAATGTCTTTTGGTGGGTATACCCAGTAAATTCAATGTCTTTTGGTGGGTATACCCTCTAAATTCAATGTCTTTTGGTGGGTATACCCTCTAAATTCAATGTCTTTTGGTAGCTACCCCAAATAATTCAATACCCTTGGGTGGTATCCCTAAATTCAATGTCTTTGGGTGGGTATATCCCCTAAATTCAATGTCTTTTGGTGGGTATACCCTCTAAATTCAATGTCTTTTGGTGGGTATACCCTCTAAATTCAATGTCTTTTGGTAGCTACCCCAAATAATTCAATACCCTTGGGTGGTATCCCTAAATTCAATGTCTTTGGGTGGGTATCCCCTAAATTCAATGTCTTTGGGTAGCTACCCCAAATAATTCAATACCCTTGGGTGGTATCCCTAAATTCAATGTCTTTGGGTGGGTATCCCCTAAATTCAATGTCTTTGGTGGGTATACCCTCTAAATTCAATGTCTTTTGGTAGCTACCCCAAATAATTCAATACCCTTGGGTGGTATCCCCTAAATTCAATGTCTTTGGGTGGGTATCCCAAAAAATTCAATGTCTTTGGGTGGTATCCCCTAAAAATTCAATGTCTTTGGGTGGGTATCCCCTAAATTCAATGTCTTTGGGTGGGTATACCCTCTAAATTCAATGTCTTTTGGTAGCTACCCCAAATAATTCAATACCCTTGGGTGGTATCCCCTAAATTCAATGTCTTTGGGTGGGTTTCCCAAAAAATTCAATGTCTTTGGGTGGTATCCCCTAAAAATTCAATGTCTTTGGGTGGGTATCCCCTAAATTCAATGTCTTTGGGTGGGTATCCCCTAAATTCAATGTCTTTGGGTGGGTATCCCCTAAAAATTCAATGTCTTTGGGTGGGTATCCCCTAAATTCAATGTCTTTGGGTGGGTATCCCCTAAAAATTCAATATCCTTGGTTGGGTATCCCTCCCTCCCACATTGTCTTTGGGTGGTATCCCTAACTTCAATGTCTTTGGTTGGGTATCCCCCAAATAATTCAATACCCTAAATTCAATGTGATTCACTGAGTATTCCTAAATTAAATATAAATTATGGGTCTCATTTTATAATGAAGCCTGGTGGAATTAAATTATTTTGATCTAGTGTTAATATGGTATATTCTTTGTGGTTTCTGTGCAGTATGATTTCACAGCAAGATGAATAGCAATATAACTATTCCAAATGTGATCATTTATTGGTCCTTATAAACAAAAACTACCTAACAAAAACACGTACATGTTATTTTCTTTTATTAGTATTTTTTATTTAAGTTCAAAGAACCTCGTGTAAATACAGCCTTGTTTAAATTACTGATTGTAAATACATTTCTTTTATGTTGTATATAAAACAACATATATTTATGTACTATATTTGCTCTATTAGAAGCACATCTCCTTTGTCTCAAAAGCACACAGTTAGTGTGTCTGTGTGTCTCGTTCCACTGATTTCATTGGATTTTGATGAAACGTGACACAAAGATGCTGAGACAATGCACAGACCTGATTAGGTTTTGATTAAAATCTGTGCATAATGACACAACCTGTGATTTTAAGTACAGGTCCACCAAAATCAGCGGTTTTTTATGCTGACCCTTATAACGGGCCATTTTTACATAAGGGCAATTGCTTCTAATAGAGCAAATATTGTAAAAGATTTGGATAATAAAGCTATAATAGTAATTACACATACAATCACTAAATGGGATGGTACGACTTGGGAAGTAAGTGAATGCAGAAAACGAAATCCTGAAAAATTACAATAAATAATTCAATAAATTGTGACATTTTTACCACTAAAAAGATTTGCAATTTGGAGATTTAAGTATTACCCCAATGAAATGTTTGCTTTTTCTGACTCTAAATTCTACTTCAAATTTGGTTTCCAGTGACTACTAGTATATTATTTTTCTTTAAAAACAGCTTTTATTAATAATGCACAAATATATTTTTACTTAAGTGATGTGTTCGGTAATTTAAGACATTGAAACCAACTTTACAAGTCTAACATGTAAGTACGGTAAATATTGCAGCATATGATTCATAATAAGGTTATTGGATTAAGCTCACTTACTTACAGAATTTACTTAAAAAAATGTAAATAAGTGTTTACTTCTATTTTTCAATTTTAAGTTGTTCACTGGTAGTCTATTTTAGAAATTTAGCAATTTTCCTGAGTTCATTTTTATCTCTTTTGTACGTATCATTGAACCTTGCCTCCAACAATGTGTTTGAAATGTGGGTTGCTGTATAACCACCAAGTCGGTAGATGTCTCCCTGGATTTGGTAATTCTGTTGTTTATATTCTATTTCATGCCCCCCAGGCGTGTATACATTATCAATCATACGATAATTTTGATGTTTATGCTCGATTTCATTGACATTTCGGTATTTTGCTAGTGCAACTATGAGGATTTTTCGCACACCACATGAAACAAGTAAGTTACGCATTGTCTCTAGCGTGTTTCCATAGTTAATATAATCGTCTAGGATACACACAACTCTGTCATCCAGTCTACCTTTTATGGTGCAATGTGGATTGACATGTACAGTATAGAAATGACGCTGTATGAATTCTGTACTTTGACGATCTTCTGAATAACATTTCGATGATGGATTGACCTGTTCACCTCGCACCAGTACAGGCTCTCTTTTACCACTGTTCGTCAAACTGCGTAGATGTTCTTTTAATTCAACTAGAGTGTCATTTAACCTCCTGGATGAGGATGGAGTGACGATCCAGTCTTGGACTTCTTTAAATTCAGGCGTGTGATGCATGGCTGAATATTAATCAGAAAAATACATGTTTTATAACTATCTGTGCACTGCCTGCCCCTTTTCCATGGGTGGAAAGCGAGCACCGCTGTACACTGATTTGCAAAGAATAGAACAGCTAGTTTTTACAACTGAACAATTCCTGATTTCAGTAATACAATACAAATATCAAGCATGATATACTTGGTCCCATTTGACATAGTGATAAACTGGAAGACTTTTTGGAAGTTTCAAGCTATGACATTTTCAATAAATCACATAGTAAAACATGCTTTATTTGATAATTATGATGAGTAAAGTTAGTACGTTCTCACCGGCCAAAAGATGACATTTCAAAGCAGTCTTCATTGCCAGATCACCATCACCATCTTTCAAGAGTTTACGAAACTCGTTTGAAGCACCAACTTCATCCGAACCATGCCATAATCCTCCATAATGATTGGCTGAACACAATGCAAATACAGTAGTTGGAATTGGTCCAGCTAAATCACATCTGCAATATAATTGTAGTATATTACATTTATTATTAAGACATGATGGGCTTTTGTGGAAATTTATAAAACATTTACTCC